TCATAAGTTCTCCAGACACAGGTTCCAATAAGAATGTCTCTCACCTAGAAAGTATTCATTAAAGGAAGTGAACATGGGCAGTTTCTCTCACCATATGATAATGTCACATGGCCCATTGTATTTCACTTCTCTTTAAACAAGCCCATTAGTAATAGCAAGACCTTCACTCTAGGTCATACTGCCTTCCTCATTTTAGCTCACATTTTCCCCAAACTCATTGCCTACAGACAGAGGTTCCAGGTCTCGAGAATATGAATTAACCACTTAGCTGCATCTATTTCTGGAACAGTACTAATGACTTTGAGGGTAAGGTGAGCAACCTAATAAAGTTTAGACTTGTCCGAGATAAAAATTAGGAAATTTGAATATGACTTCTTAGTCCAAATTTTTACATTGGTGTCTACTATAAGCTGAACCTTTAGGTTCGCAAATAATCCTAAACACTTTGTCAGGAATGCATCCGTGTATCTTTGAGTTCATGCATCTTTCAATTGTTATCTGGCAAGTTTTGGAAGGACTTCAGAATTTATTTATTCCACCAACACCTGTGGATGTCTTGTTTTGCGCCATGTATTTCATAGTAGGCCCACTGAAATTGATATGATTAAATGTAGCATCTCAAAGAGTAATCCAGGGCAACCAATGCACAGAACTCAGTATGCCTTAGAACAGTGCTTCTCAAATGTTAATATGCACACAGATCCGTGGGGAATATTTTTAACCGGCAGGTGTGGGGTAGCATATTGGCCTCACTCAATTGTATGGGCTGGCAATTCTGAAATTTATAGGGCAGACTGGCAGGCTGGAAATTCAGACAGAAATCCATGCTGCAGTTTTAAGGCAGAATTTCTTCTTTGAGAAACCTCAGTTTTTGCTCTTTAAGCTTTCCAACTGATGATATGAGGCCCACTCACATTATTGAGGATAACCTCTTTTACTTAAATTCAACTGATCATAGCTGTTAATTACATCTACAAAATACCTTCACAGCAACCTCTAGGTTAGTAGGTACCAGAGCCAGGCCAAGTTCACGTACAACTGACCATCACAGCCAGGAAGTGACATGCTGCTCCCAAGTGACACAGAGGCCACCAGTCCACCACGCGTTGGGTAGGAAAGCTGTGGAAAACCCAGTTTTGACTGGCAATTGTTTCCCTTTCTCCACTGATTTTAGATTTAACAAAATTAAATACCTGTTTCTCACCTTTTTACAGGAAATTCTCATCTTACAGTTCTTTCCGTCTGCTTTTCTCTTGAGCCTGACCTCTTAAATGATCACAGGCCCAGAGGCCCTGGTCACCATATGGGCCCAGAATTGAAAGACTTGTTCTCTAAAAGAAGGTTTTTAATTGCAGTTGGCATTTCAGAGTCAGACACTGAGGCAGCCATCTGGCATACAGCTGCCATGGCCTGTGATGCCAGCAACAAACACCCACAGCCCCGGAGACCAGGCGGGACAAACCTATTGGCTGGTCATACGCCTTCCCCCGCGCAGAACAAAGCAGCACGTTAAGCAATCCAGAAGGATTCCCTCTATAGTTCTTCATGAAAGAAAGGCATTCCCAGTCCAATCTAATGCTTTGGTCAATTACTACAACCAACCGATCAAACAAAAAACAACTCAGGATTAAATCAAAGATAGGAACATTTTAGGGGCATTTCCCTTCTCTGAACATCTGCACATAGTAATTGGAACTTCTAATACGATACAAATACCCTTGTGTTAGTTTTTAAAATGTGTCCGAACTCTCACTCCCTATGTAATTAGAAGTATCTCAACAGAGGAAAGGTGGGGTTTTCCTTCAAGCGACAGTTCCACACAGCCTCTGGGGCACCAGGATCAGTAGTGAAGAAACCAACACTCGGCTAACAGGGAAAGAAACTCAGACAAGAGGCCTGAAAGCATCAATTCATTTTCCCATGCAAATGTTTTTTGTAGTAATAATACTTCTTAAAACCTTCCAAGGATGATATAATTAATACTCTAAAATCTCTGTGAAATGGCAATGTATTATAATCTTGCGTTGAAATAGTAAGTATTAAATAAATGCCAGAAAAATTAAAGCCGTTTTAAATCATGATCAATGTTCACTGGTAACAAATGGTATATCCCACAAGTTCTCTACACTGTGGTTGTAAAAAAAAAAAAAAAAAAATGCTGCTTTAAATACTAGATCCTGGCCATGTCACCAGAGAATAAGCTTTAAAATCAATGCATACCAAACCCATTGCTAACAAGAGAAATGCAGATTAAAAATACATGCCACCTCACTCATACTGAGAAAGATCAACCAATCAGATAACACAGTGAGCTGGGCAAGGTGCAGGGAAACAGGCACTCTCATAATGCTGGTGTGTAAGCCAGTATAACTCCTCAGGGGTATTCGTCAATGATTATCTATCAAAACTACAAATGCAAATAGCTTTTCACCTAGCATTTCCACTTCTAAGAAGATGATATGCATTGATAAATTCATTATAGTACTGTTTATGCAGGCAAACAATTTGCAAACAACCTAACAGTTCATCAATAGATGACTGGTAAAATAAATTAGGCCCATCCAAACAAGGCATAACATGCAATAGTTACAAAGCAGGAGGCAGCTCCGTGTGTCTATCTTTATAAGTGTTGATGCCCAGATATATCATTGAAGACAAAAGATAAGGTGCAGACCAAGGTGTAGAGGGACCTGGGCTAGATGTCTTCTATTAACCCTAGGGATCTACTCTCCACCCTTGGTCACCTGACTCTGCCCCAGGAGGTTGATCTTTATGGACAACATCAACCAGCTCTCTGGCCCTCCGTTTCCATTAACCAGGAAGCTCAGCAGAACAGAAGAGGAGCAAAGGGAGTACATTTAAGTTATCTGTGCCTGGCTCCCTCCCTGTGGAACTTTCTCCAGCTGGCTAAGTCCCTCACCTGCAGATGACAGGTTCTCCTGAGGCAGTCGTTTCCAAGACTTACTTCTTCCCCCTACTTGCCCCTTTGGGCCTAGAGAGTCCAGACAGCAGTCAGCAGTCCCAGGTTTCTGCACTATGCTTTCTCCACTACTGTGGCGGTTTGCTTTGACCCTGTCCACTCTTTCATAAATAGTCCCTCTACTAAACTCTTCCCAAATCTTCCTATTTCAAGGGTGCCCCCTGTTTGCAGCTGGAACTCTCACTGACACATCACACCAAACTGACACTGTTTGTGCTTTTTATTTTTTACAGAAGAGAATACACACACACACACACACAAAACACATACATACATAGACATATCTATTTACACTTATATACACAGACTATCTCTGGGAGTAAATCCAAGAATGTGGGAATCAAACATTGTTTGGCTCTATAAAAGGAAAACGAATGACCAGAAAATTGAGGTGGGGAAGAGACTTTTTATTTTATGCCCTTTTTTCATTTTTGAATTTTCTATCACTTTTACGTACTTAAGCATTGTTTGAATTTAAAATAAATGCAAGGCAGATTCTGCCATGGCAGATGTGTGTGGCTTTCATCCAAATGGCAGTGCCACATGGTCTCTGGGGCACCAGGATCAGCAGTGGGGAAACCATCCCTTATCTGACAGGGTGACCGGGGTGTAGGTAGGAAACAGAGAGATAAGTGGCCCAAAAGCATCGATTTTCCTTTTGATGCAAGTGTTTATGTAATACTAATACTGCTTTTAAAATCTTTCAAGAATGATATAATCAACACTCTAAAATCTCTTTGAAAAGGCAGGGAAATCACCTAGTCAAAAACCTAGTGAGAAAAGATATATACATATTTTTTCCACACTGAAACTGCCTGTAACCTGGTCAACAATTAAGAATATCAAATATACGTGCTATTCCCCACACAACAAGAGATATAAAACAAACACCAGGCTGGTCCATTCCCTCCTGCAACTTATAGTCTAGTTTGAGAAGCAAAGTTAACAAATGCAACCTAATGTGAACCAGGTACGTGCCTTGAAGTGCAAACATGAGGTCATAAATGGAGAGGGAGTGTCACAGGAAAATGTCCAATTTCCTTGAAGGATGGGTGGTTCTGAGAGGCTGGGGAAGAAAGTTTCTCCAGGTTGAAAACAGAGCTCACATAAGCAGGCATTGGGCAGAATGAAGGAGCACAGTGATCTCAAGATCTGACTCTGAAGACAGAGAAGCAGTCAACACACACACATCCCCCATTTTACAGATGGAAAGGCTGAGGCACAAGAATGTTTTGGGGGTGTACACAGTTAATAAGATTGGCTTGTCCAAAACTAGGTTTACAAAAGGCAAGATGAGGAGGCAAAGAAAAAGTCCTAGAATAGAATTCTAGCCTTTGTCCACCTACACTCAAAATACAAGTCTTCTGTGCTAAAAGTGATCTATCTGAGTAAACTTGATGCTTAGCTTAAAAACTTAACAGTCAAGGGCTGGCAATAAACCACAGAATCTGAATCTGGGCAGTTGCCGACCATCTTAATGCAATTCCAGCCTAAATTCACTATTATGGAGGCAATTACAAATGAACTGGAAGGGGTGTGTGTGTGTGTGTGTGTGTGTGTGTGTGTATGTTTATGTGTGAGATTTTCCCCTGTTGGGACTTGTTCAACTGAGGAAGTTTAGCTTTGAGGGTTTGGGTTTCAGTAGCCTTTTGGCCCATGTCTTTAATTGTTCACTATGATTGCTTTAAGAAAACTGCATAAACAGAAGTTTGTCATCACCAAGCAATTAAAGTAAGGGATTTAAGGAATGATTCCCCATGTTTCAAAGAAATTAATCCAATGGGGTACTTTAAATTGAAAACTTGACTGTCCCTTTAAAGTAGGATTTTTAAAAATGTAAATTACAGGAACTTTTTAAAAGTCATCTGTAGAATAAAACAAGCTATAGCTGAATGGAAAAGTAATTGACATTCTCTACTGACAAACATAAAATAACTGATCTGTAATTGCAATTGTATCCTTTCCTATTTAACACTCTGCAGCCTCAGTAACTCCAAATAACTCCTAAAAATGAATACTCTTTTTTTTTTGCTCATTCCTGAATTTCTTGGATCACTGAGGAATGAAGTGCAGTTTGAATTCCCCCAACACTTGCTGAATTCTCCTCTTTTTTGGAGAGGTGAGGGGGATAATATATGTCCCAGTCAGGTTACATAACAGGAAACCAAACCGAAACATTTAAAATGACTCTTACAGGTAGAAGTGGCATTGTTGCCAAAGGCGGTATTTCAGAATACTAGCATCCATTCTATATTCAAAAAGCTGGAACACTTTTAGCACTCTCAGTCGCCTTCCTTCTTCATCTTTAGTGGGAATCATGTGGGTAAAATATACTTGTGAAAGCCAGGGAGACGTGAGCAATCTGCAGTAAACAGTGTCCTCACTACATGGCATTTTTAGTTTTTCATTGATAAAGCTGATTTTAACAGTGCATTTAACTGGCAACGCCTGACTATAGGACTATGAGATGAGGCAAAAATCAGAATATAGGCGCTGGGGCTGAAGAAAAGAGGAAGCCAGCTGAAAATTAATTAAGCCACATCAATGCAAATGGATATCCTATGTCAAGTGAGGGAGCAGAATGCGGCACCATTTCACGAACCGTCAAAATAATAACTTTATGCTTGTGTTAAGAAGTGCTTTAAAAGTTGGTACTTTATATAAAGTTATGGCAGCTGAGAAAACAATTCTCCCTCAGTTGGGAGAACTTGGATGGTGTGCTGTAGCAACAAGGAAAATAACTCAGAGATTACTGAAAATAAAAGATGATTAAATAACTTTCTTGGTGATAGTCAAAATAACTTTGGTAAAATGCACAGTCTGATGGAGGCAAGATAATGAGCACACAATTTACGCAGTTTTATAACGTTCCAATTCAACTAAACAATTTGTTAACAGGAAAGTTAGTCAACACAAACAAATATGCACTATGTGCTCTGTGACAGCCCTCAAACGAAACTCCTAGAAGGGGTGGACAAGTGTGAGACGTGGTCCTTCCCCAAGATGCTTAGGCTCTTGTAGGGAATTTTTAAAATGCACAAAAATGATTTTTATTGAAAGAACTTTGGAAATGGAAAAGGTCTATATGAAGATGTGCTTTTTTTAATTAAGTTATTCATTTACCACTGAAATAATACTTTATTTCTAAGTGCTGACGCAGCTTAATGGAAAGAGCAAAAACTAATATAAAATCTGGTAAGAACAGATTTTTTTTTTTAAAGGTAATGACTATTAGAGAAGCAGGAAAATAAGCCCCTGAGGTGAGCCATTTGCTTCAACGAAGCATGGACTTTGGTCCGAATATCGATTTCCTGTGAGGTTAGAATTTTCACTGATAAATTTCTCGATGGAGGCTTTCCCCCCCTTTTTCAAACTGTGCTGGAGGGTTCTGGTGCATGCCCAGGGCCTAAAAAGGTTTTTCAATTAGTTTTATTAAGCAAGTGAAAACATTTGTCAAAACAGATGATTTCCATATTTCCCTTTGGAAAAGGGCCCAAAGTACTACCACGTTCGGGAAAGGAATTTCTTTAAAAGGTGATATAACCAGGTCCAAAATGCTTGGTTTCGGACAAGCAATTAACTTGGGGGTAGACAGGGCTGGGAGAGGCTAAAGCAGAGACTGCTATGACAGGTGCCTGAGCTGGTGACAGTCCACAGGTTGTTCTGTTTGGCCTAAACTCTTCTCTTTTAAAAACGTGAACCAAGTTTCAAAGTCAGAAGATTGCACATGAAAAGGTTTTCCAACTCTACTTAAGAGAATAAAACTATCTGGCACCAGTGGGCCGACATCATCCCATGACAACAGGCAGCTGGTGATAAGGTGCAATGTTCCCCTAGAGAAGGTGCTTGCATCCTTCCTGCCCAGACCTTGTCACCACTTGAATTTTTACAATGAATAATTGTTTAACCTGCCCATTTGATTCTCTCTTCTAACACTAGAGTTTTAATTGGAATGTAAAGAGACATGATTTAACTCTCTGATATTGGTATTTGAAAATATGCATCCAATTCCCTAATGTGGATAACCACATTTCAGTTCAAGAAAAGGGGCCATCTACCTTAGAAATCAGATCTGTGGTGGAAATAATAATAATGATTACTATTGTCACCATTTATTGAATGCGGACCAAATGCTTAGTCCAGTACTGACTGTTGTCATGATTATTTCATGTATTCGTCACAACAGCCATGTAATTTTATCATCACCATTTTATAGGGGAGGAAATTAAGGGTCAAAGAGATGAAAATAACTTGTTCAAGGTCAACGAGAGACAGCTAATGAGAGACAAAGCCAACGGTGACACATAAGCCTTCATCCTTCCTGACACTCTACGGAAAAATAGATTTTCTCATTATAAAATTCAACAGTCGAGCTTTACACTCATTCCACTAGAAAGCAAAGACACTGGAGATGGCTCGTAGAAGTTAAAGGGAGTTATGTAGGGGGCAGGGAAGCAGTTTCTTATAAAAGAAATTTGTGGGGTTTTTTTGTAATTACTTGCATTATTTTAGGAGACAAATAAGGACAGCTTGGTGAAGCCCAAGAGTTCTAGGTCAAAAACTTGAGCGTGACTTCAGGCCCTGACATGTACGAGCGCTGGGGACTACAGACAAGCCTCTTAACTTCTAGGAACCTCCATTTCCTGATCTATGAAACAGTACCTTCTAGAGTCAAGGTGAAGATCAAACATGCTTGAAGTACACGTGAAAATCCTCCAGACAGTAAAAAGTGCCGCACGAGCACTCTCTCCTTAGAAAACGAACGTTCCAGGCAATGCTCTCTCACGCAAACACCGGAGAAAATTACAGGAAAGGAATGACAAGATAATTAAGAGTTTGGTGAATCTGTTCCTACTCATCAATAGAATGCAACAGTGTGATGACGACTAAAAAATCTTTCAGGAAATTTGAGTGAATAGACAAATTGAAATATAATATTTTTTGGTTACTTCTGTGCTCCCAGGCTTTCAAAGATACAATGGAATCAATCTTTGTTACAATAAAGTAAGTTCCCAGGAGTGCTTAGGATCTCTACAGAACCCTTCTAGAACCAAATAATCTGGTTTTAAAATATTGTTCATAACCAGTGTTAAATCTGGCAAATTGGCAGTAACTTGAGAATCGGGTTCAATTTTCAAATCCTCTGCTGACTCTTGCACGTTTATCAGGCGAGAGCCGATCAGCTTTGGCTTTGAGACACTTACTATGTTATATTTGGCAACATGCTAATAAAATTGGTAAGTTTGACATGCAGAGATAGGGAGGCAATGAGGTGCCTTAAGATTGTGGAATTCTAAAATATTGAAATAAAACTGTGTTTGGCTCTCCTTCTCAAGGAAATAAAACCGGCATACTTTGATTCACGGCTGATGAAAGAATTAGAGAAGAAAATGCGCAACAACTTTATTAGATTTTCAAGTATCTAGTGAAGATATGGTCTATGCCATCCAGATATATGGAAAGCAATATGCCTTCATCTCCTCTCCCTGAGGTCATTGCCTCATGTAAAAATTAATTGTGTAACACTGCGATATGATTTCTCCCGGAGGAGAATGCACCATACTGGGAGTGGAAGCAGGTTGCAGCAGAGAACACTCTGAAGTGACCAAGAACTGGCTTTGTGTTCACGGGCAGTTACTCAACTCCTCTCCGTGCCTGCTCTCTGACCAAATAGGTGGCCTAGACATGATGATCTTTTAAGGTCCCTTTCACTTTGAAAAATAGCACAAAAAATGACAAAAAGGCATGTTCGGATTCACTTTGGCTTCTAAGATAACACCAAACACTTTGAAACCTCCCCCTTCATGTTTTTTAAGCAGAGGAAGTGAAATAGAAAAGAAACAAGTTTCAAGCATTGTTAAGGCTTCTAGAAAGGACAACAAAGGGCAGGAAATTCGAAAGGAAATCTGAGAATCTGCCCTTAACCCGGGCAATTCTGCTTGCTTTCTCAGAGTGTAGTTAGATTAAAAAGGGTAAAGGGGTTTGGGGGCAAGACTCCAGATGGAAAGTCTTGGTCAGCACAGGAACTTGGTGTACAATGGAGTACAATGTAGATCAATGTAGATACAATGTACACTGGAGTACAATGTAGATCAGAAAAAGAGTGCAAGTTCAAGAAGGATTACTATCTTACTCAATGCATTACTGAGCCATGTGGGTCCTTAACTTCCTTTATGGACGTGATAGGTCACAGGGCCGTAGTTAAATCTGAGGCAGAGCCACCAGCTATATAATTCGTGGGGTTAGTGCAAAATGAAATTGCAGGGTCCTTGGTCTAAAGCTAGAAAAAAAGTGCTATTAAAAATTCTAAAATGTTTTAAAAAAAAAAAGTGTAAAGTTGTTCTTTGCCTTTCCTGGGCACTGCTCACTACTGTCATGACCTTAATGTTATTTGCAGTAAATAGAATAAAGATCTCTCGCAAGGTAAGTAGCTGCGACTTATATGATGCTACCTTCCAAGCAGTAAAAAATCTACTCCCCTTCAAGTCCTTGCAATTCCACCAAAGTTGGTGTTTTAGTCCATTACAAAATACCTGGGAATAGGCAATTTATAAAGAAAAGAAATTTATTTCTCACGGTTCTGGAGGCTGGAAAGTCCAAGATCAAGGCTCTGGCAGGCTTGGTGTCTGGTGAGGGCCCCAGTCCCTGCTTCCAAGATGGTACCTACGGCTGCATCCGCCACGGGGGATGAGCACCATGTCCCTAATGGCGGAAGGCAGAGGGCAAAAAGGACCTAACCTGGTTACCTCCAGTGCTTTTATATGGGACGAACCCACTCCTGACTTGATCACTTCCCCTAAGTCCCCACCTCTTAATACCACCACAATGGGAATTAAGTTTCAACATGAAGTTTAGAGGGGACATGTCAAACCATAGCAGCTGGTGAGAAGAAAGAACAACACCTACATGATGGCAATGATGTGTGATCGTCAGTGGGCTGTGGAAGAGTCCAGATAGATTGCAGCAGCAATTCTAATATGGAAAATGAGAACCACACTCAAGGTCTCTGAGGTGCATTCTTCTAACATAGTCCTGGAACACAGTTGGCTCCTTCCATCTATGGAGAATGGCCACATTTGTGAGATGAAATAACACTTGGTATTAGAGATAAGAGTGGAATAAGTGACCTAAACTTTGAGATGTTTTGAATTGCCTTTGGCTAGGGAGTCAAATTACAATGCTTTCTCCTTCTTAAGAAAACTTTTTATGCAAGCCCTAGTAGGAACCTCATTTTGGTAACTTCAATTCCCCCCCCACACTCAAATAATCTTATTTATTAAACATACCTCATGCTGGAGTGAGAGCCTGAATGTCTAAAATGCTGCATGGCCAGAGGTGACTGAGAAGTATATTTTGGCTATATTTCACAGTCTCTTATTTGTCTTAGCCTATTCTTTTTACCAATGTAGTTGCAGACTGGCTCTATTTCTTGGGAGTCTGATGTAAAAATGTGTGTCTATAAATGTAACTTATACAGAGAAGCAAATGAGAAACCATGGAGAAGTGGGGAAGGGGGAGGAGATGACACACACACTCTGGTTTTAGGACACTGTCCTTGCTGTTTCTTTTAAACTAGATTGGTCTTACCCCAGAAATCTTCCCTCTTCATCTTCTGACTTCACTCCAATCTCTGCTCAAATAACACCTTATCAAATATGCCATTCTTGACAACCCTTCCTAAAATCACAAACACCTACCATTACTCTCTGCCCTGACCCTGTACTTATCCCCTGACCTATTGGTAGAGTTTTGTTTGTTAACTTGTATACAAGGACTCTGTCTAATTCACTGCTGTACTTCCCAAATCTCATACACTGGCAAGCACATGGTAGTTGGTACTCAATCAACACTCACTGATAGCTTTCAATTTCCCTAAATCCTCCAAAGCCAAGTTTCATAACCCATCCTTAAGTTCCAAGACAAACCTTTTACCCTTCCGATCAATTCCTCTTATATGGCCGGGAACAATGGGTCATGCTTGTAATCCTAGCATTCTGGGAGGTTGAGGCAGGTGGATCATTTGAGCTCAGGAGTTCGAGACCAGCCTGAGCAAGAGTGAGACCCCCGTCTCTACTAAAAATAGAAAGAAACTAGCTGTACAACTAAAAACCTATAGAAAAAATTAGCTGGGCATGGTGGCACATGCCTGTAGTCCCAGCTACTCGGAAGGTTGAGGCAGGAGGATGGCTTGAGCCCAGGAGTTTGAGGTTGCTGTGAGCTAGGCTGACACCTCGGTACTATAGCCCAGGAAAAAGAGTGAGACTCTGTCTCAAAAAAAAAAAATCTTCTTATATTTAAAAAATATTGCACATTTGCAGTTGCTGGGTATGCAATAAGGATATACTCACAGAGAATATAGGACAATAGAGAAAAAAACAAAATAAAAAACAGATTAAACCCAGGTATGGAGGGTGCAAACAGTCAGTGAAGAGCTTTAAAAAGTTAAAAAACTCAATGTTTCATCAGTCAAAATTAGCAGTAAAAGGAAATCGGTTTAGCAATCAAAGAGAATTTCTTTCCTGGGAGGAGCTGGTTCTTGAAGGAGTTGGTTCATGGAGCCAGTCCGTAAAGGCGGAGCCAAGGGAAAGGGCCTCTCTCAAGATATACTGTTCTGCAGTCAAGGCACAATCTGGAGCTACACAACAGAAACCAGCACACATGGATTTTTAAATTTAAATTAACTAAAGTTAAATAAAATCACATGCTCAGTTCACTATCCATTTTCAAATGCTTAATAGCCACATACGGCCAGGAAAAGAGATAGAATGCTTTCATCATCACAGAAAGTTCTACAGTACAATACTGATCTAAAGAAATCCAAAAGGACCTGGGTTACTCAGCTTCCAGGGAGATTTGAAAAGGAAGACCCCAAGGGACCTGGAAGGAGAAGCAGGACAGAGCTAGAAAAGTAATCCCACTAGGAAGGGGACCTGCCCGCTTGCTTGGCTGCCCTGTGTGATTGAAGTTCCATCCCAACTTCTCAGGAATGTGTCTAGTGTTAATATGAAATGACTGGCTGTCTGTAGTATCACTGCTGAGGTCGGGACAGACGACAATTAGGGACAAGGGCTAGCATTCCATGGTAAACCCATAAGCCATGAGTGGCAGCAGCACAAGGTCCTAGAAGTGAGAGAAACGGACAGAGCTAGGTTTGCAACAAGCTGAAACCTGTAAAAGCTCCAGTCAGCTGGCACAACCTCTCAAAATGCAAATCCCTGAGCCTAAGATAAAAGTAAGACTCCTAAGGTATCAAGTAATTCTTATTAAGCCCCATTTCGATGACTGAAACATAATGCAGAGCCCAGGCACACAGATTAAGTTTCCAGCCAAAGCCCACAGAAGCATAAAGTAAGGAAATTAACATTTTTAGAAAAAAAACTGGCGCTTTTTTTTTTTTTTTTTTTTTTTGCCTAAGGGTTTAAGTCATAGCATGCCAAATAAGGGTGAGTTTCTAGAAGAACATAGCACAAATGTGATCAACTGTGGGGAGAATTTATCAACAGGGGAAAATCCCAATGGCCTCGGGGAAACCACTTCTGCAGGACTCCAGATGAAACTAAACCCAACTAAAAGTCTCCCTTCGGGGCAAGCTTTCTCCTACCTGATCATTTCACTCTCCTTTACCAGGTATTTCCGGGAGTCTGAAGGGTTTACAAGCCCTACCACTCCACACCCATAGACTTTCAGCGTATTTTCCTCCCACAATACAATACTATTTTTACAGCCCTTTAAAGATCAAAACTAAAAACACAGATGATAAAGGAGGCCTGGCTGGATCCTCCTACAATAAAATATTACAATTACAGAGCATTAAAAACAGACTTTAATTCCAAAACACAGGAAGGGAGAGGTAACAGATAATTTAATCTGCCCCACTATGATTACAGGTGCTAAGAAATGACCTGAATGTGGCTCTCTGGGACTTAAAGAGAATTGGAACTTTGAGAAAACCCTTTAACTGTCTTGTCCATTATGGTCACCAATAGCCACATATGGTTATTTAAATTCAAGTTATTTGAAATAAAAAAAAAAAGTAAAATTCAGTTCCTTAGTTGCACCTGCCACATTTCAAGCCACATGTGACTAATGGTTACCACACTGGACAGCACAGATACAAGATATTTTCATCATTGCAGAAAGTTCTATTGAACAATTCTCTAAGATAGCTACATCAGTTGCCCAAATTTTATAATAGAGATTATGAAACAACAGCACCTCAAATGCCGAGTTTCTAGGCTACTGGCAACCCTCTCCATGCTGGTGAACTACTTGAGGTCACGTACATATGTTGTCCAATCACCCCCATCTCCCCTGTCCCAGGCCTATTGAAATGGCATTAAGTGCAATAAAATGTATCCCACTGTGGCTCAGCCCAGCTGAAACCTAAGTTTCTTCAGAATTCCAAAGTATGATGCATATTTTTGTGACACCTGAAGCAGGGACATGTCAGGTAAATGTCTATGAGTGACACTCAGGAGAAAGAAGGCACTTCCTGGAATTAATCAATTTGTTTCCAGAGGTATCCTCAGGCTACTTTGTGTGGAATGAGGTTTGGACAGAACCTAAGGATAGGTTGGGAAATACTGAAAGTCCTGGGACTCTAAGGAGCTTCCCCATACATGTTTCCAGATGCAATGAAGGAACTATTGTTTTTAAAATATCATGAAGTGCTGATAATGGAACCCAAGGCCCCACATGGGATCAGGAACAAGAAGGCCCAGGTGCTGGCTTGATGCATGGGGAGGTTGTGGTGGGCTCCCTGCCCTCTGCCAACTGCAGAGGCACTGTGGAAAAACAAGAAAGGGATTCCGTGTCTTCCCACCACAAACTCCTGGCATTGCAGTGGTTTTATTTATGTCATTCCCCCACTTAACAACTGGCCAGCCCCTCAAAGAATTTAAACCTAAACTACATAACCTGGCATTTAAGGCCCCATATTCTGATAACCTTTCTGCTGAGCAACTCCTTTTATCAGAAACTCTTTGACCTGTTAACTCCTTCTGCCTCCCTATGGCCAGAATTTCCACCTCACCACCAGATCTATGGTAAGGACAAAGAGAACATCACCAGGGTGGCCCGCCAAGTCCCCAAAGGAGTTCAGTGCCTTCTCTGCGGGCTGTGAGGTTGCTGAGACCAAGGGAGGAGACTCCAAGAACGGCATCTACAAGGATGCCTGGTGCCCAGTGCTACCTGCAAGGAGTGGTCCAACATGGCACACATGCTCATTGTCCACTCTGGCCAAGGCTGATAGAGCCAGAGAACTGCCTTGATGTGAGTTGTGGACACACATTCTGGGCAGGCAAGGCCAGCTTCATTCTGTTTTCTTGAAGCAAGTAGAGAAGTATGGCCTGGGGGCTAACAAGTGGACAAAAGTACCCCTTTTGAAATGTACCCATCCTTTCAGACCCAGGTCAAGGGCTTTTTCCTTTGGAAAGTCATCCTTACAACCCTCTCCCAAGGCACAGTGCTCTGTCTCCTTTGGTCTTCGTTTCTGACCATCTTTACTATGAGGTAGCCTTTCAGATGATCCTGCATTTACCCCATTCTGCAGGTGAGTTTCCAAACTCTTCTAAAATCTTGATCATATTTATTATACTAGACTTAAAGTCAACAGATGGGAAGTTTTGAACCCAGTAAAATGGTACTTCTTTGCTGTGGGGCAGCAAGCAGGTACTCTGATCTCTCTAGTCCAATTCTTCATTTGTAACCTAACTAGATTAGTCTAGATCAGTGTTTCTAAAGCTGAGTTCCACAAAGAATCATCTGGAGATCTTTTAAAAAGATAATGATGCCAGGGCCCTAGCCCAGAGCAATGAATCAGAATTTCTAGATCAGGTGTCCTCAAACTACGGCCCATGGGCCACATGCGGGTGTTTTTGCTCATTTGGTTTTTTTAATTCAAAATAAGATATGTGCAGTATGCATAGGAGTTTGTTCATAGCTTTTTTTAAACTATAGTCCGGCCCTCCAATAGTCTGAGGGACAGTGAACTGGCCCCCTGTTTAAAAAGTTTGGGGACCCCAGTTCTAGATGTTTGGCTCAGGCATTGGGATTGTTTTAAAGGCTCTCTGATGATCTCAATGTTCAGCCACGGTGAAAAGAAAACAAATACGGTTGCAAAAGGAGTTATTCTATATGGAGTGGAGAACTAACAGGAGAAAACTTAGCCATTAGAGACGTGGGCAGGGTAGTACTAGACAGAAGTGGTCAGATCTGCAAGCGATGCCTCCCATCTTTGTCTCGAGCTGGCTGCTAGGAAAGTTACAAACTGCATTACAGCAGAACATTATTATAAATGTACACAGGTAAAATCAAGCCCAACTCAAATAATTTGTTTACATAACTCACACTGAATAAAATTTTGTGATGAGGCAGGGGTCATAAACATAACTGGCTCCAGGACAATGGTTGCCATTGTGTAAATTCTTCCTGAAAGATCATTTTTAGATTAATTTTACAAGTCCCTATTTTCTTAAAGGGTGGAAATCCTTTGCCAATCACCAAGGGGACAATAAACTTAAAGGAAGATGTGTTTGAAAGATCTTAGGAGCAGGTTTCCTGAGAAAGCTGAATTTCTAAAGTGCTTTGACCCTACAAGCCAACATGAATAGTGAGTTCAAGGAGACCAACATGAGAAAGCATATCTCCCGTTAGATAATCTAGCAAAGAAGTTAAGAAGGCAAATAGTTCTTAGATAAGAATTAACAGTTGTGGATAAGCTCTTCCTTCAGACTATCACAAGGCTAAATAGAAGTAAGACAAACAACATCAATTTTAAGTTCGGTTATCCCTGCAATGTAATTACTCTTCCTAGGCTCTGTGATATTTTCCTTTTTTATTCCATTAAACAAATATATATTGAGCACCGTTTATATAGTGGATCTGAAGAAGGACTATTTCTGAACTGTTCAAAGTTTGAATATTTTTCTTGGTACAATGACATATGCCTTAATGGAAATTGGTATGTAAAAATTACAGTTTTTTAAAGGATTATATAAAAGGTATTACTCTAGAAGATTGACTATGGAATCCATCTTAAAAA